TCTCAATAGCGTTTCTACACGGTTTTAGGGTATTTCGCTGAAAATTGACAAAAAAATTTGGGAATTAGTCATGGCTACATATTTTTGGCCAGCACTGTACTTAGCGTTGTTTAATAATGATGCAAGTTTGCCTCACCTAAATTAATGAAAAGGCTAGAAATTACTTCTATTAGCACCAGAACTGAACTGAGCCAACAAATCACCCAGCTTGGCGAAAGCAGTGGCAGGTGATATTCATCTCAAGGTCTGTAGACAGTACAAAATAAGCTGTCTTCACTCGGTGGATATCGTTGGTTGCGCTCCGATCTTTTGTGCATGCTCACGGTTGCATGATAAATTTGGACTGTCACGATATGATGTCGTAGCGTCGAACACATCTCATTAAGTTGAGGCGATTGGCAAGGTTTCATCAAGGTTATATATAGCATTACTATATCGTTTCGTTTGTCAAATCTGTACTAACGGACAATCTACGCGATAGTGGCCGTTATTATAATCTTAGGGTATATGCTTGTTTATTGCATTAAATCTCCGGTAGTCGTCGATACAATCCGAGACCTGCTTTGGCGTAAAGAAAAAAATACATTGCATACGTAATAAGTTATTGCTGTACCAGCATCGATAGATTTCACGACAATATTAGTTGCAAATCAACTGGTGCAACGTGACAATATCGTTTATGTGTCTTCGAAGAGAGGCACACGAATAGTTTTTTATGTAGTCAGTTTACTGGTGAGTGGGTGTAAAGTTGAGCTACAGATTTTTCGAGCTCTATTGCCACGCAGTCGGGCTAGGTTAAATTTAAGTAAATGCGTTATCTCTCGATGCGTTCGTCCCTGGCACATTATTTAGATTTGTCTAGTTGATATCTAGATGCAGGTGGTAATGCTACGACACCACTTGGTATAACACGTGATGTTGAGGTTATGCGCAATCACTGGAGCTGCATAATCACATGACTGGAGATTGAGTTCGAGCACTACCGACAAATGAACTGTAAATGACGTGCTGTACAATTGACACCTGGTCGCTCAAAAGATATTCATGGAAAAACTGCAGAAAATAACATGGGAAGTTGTGCAAAAACTTCCGCCTAGATGAGATTCTGTGAGATAAGAGTAATTATTATTATTTATGAATCTGACTAATTTCATAAGTGCAATCTGTTCTTCGAACGATATTATTACAAGTAAGTAAGTACTGCTCATAACTATCTGATTAGAATATACAGTATCTCGACTAAACGTTTTGTCACCAAGTATTACAAGAAAATTGTCAAACGTAGACCCATTCCATTGCAACGACCTCCAATTTCATACACATCAAAAGTTGTACACGCTCTATTATACAAGTGCCTCGATTACCAAAACGTGAAGCTCTTTGTCCGTGTTGGCCCGTCCCAACAGAACCGGCACCACGAATTAGCAACATTCAGCCCAGGCGACAC